GAGGAGCCTCAGGAGCCCTGCTCTTGTCCCGAGCTCGTTGCACTGAAGGGAAACGCTGTGCCTGCGCCAAAGGCAAGGGATATTTTGGGTTCGGGGGCTCCTCCTGCATGGCCACGGTGTGAGGTGTCCTGCCTGTGTCTGAGGAGCAGGAGGAAGGCACCGGGCTGGTGCCTGGCAGAGGAAGGGTGGCACCAGATCTCGAGGCCAAAACCTTCACCTGCCTCAGTGGTGGCACAGGGAGCTTGGCAAGCTCCCCCCGAGGGGCTGGGGGCTCTCTGGGAGGGACAGCAGGGTGGGGAGGGCTCTGCAGCTGCTCTGCTCCCCAGGGCTGAAGCCAGGCCGGGGGACATGTCCTGTGTGTGCTGCTGGGCCCTGCACCTCCCTGTCATGAGTGTCACTGCAGTGGGATGAGGATCCACCTCCCCCTTGGGGTAACCCCCTTATGGAAAAGCAGGGGCTGCTGGCTAAAAAGCAGCTTTGTACAATCCACCCTAAGGGGGGTTTCTTTCCCCCTTGGCTCCTGTAGCCCAGCATGAGCAGCGTCCTCTCGTTCCCTCAGAACCTGCTGCTTCCCAAATGAGGCGGCTTTGGAAGCAGGGTCCAAAAAAAGGTGGGATTCAGCTCACAGCAGAGCTGGCTCAGCATACAGACCACGGGCAGGGACAGGGCAGGGCCAGGGATGGGACAGGGATGGGACACAGGGTGAGGGCAGGGCCAGGGATGGGGACAGAGAGCAAGGGCAGGGCCAGGGATGGGGACAGAGAGCAAGGGCAGGGCCAGGGATGGGGACAGAGAGCAAGGGCAGGGCCAGGCAGCCTGGGGAATGCCAGGACAGCTCCTGGAACAGGGAGGTTTTATCGCTGGGAGTCCCTGAAATTGTTCTGTGCCTCTCTCACTGCCACCCTCACAGCTCATCCCTGTGTGCAGCACCAGCCCAGCTGGAGGCAGCCAGGGCCCCCAGCTCTCTCTGGCTCTTTCTCTTTTCCATTTGCTGTGTTTTTGGTGAATGTGAAGGATTTCTGCCCCTCTGGAGCACGGGAGCTGCTGGTTTTGCTGCTTTTCCTGTAAGTGGGTGATACCAGGAAAGCCCTGCCCTGCTGGGCACCCGTGTGGGCACATCTGGCTCCTTCTCCTGCCTCTCCATCCCAGCTCATCCCACTGTGCTGTCCCTGCTCCACGTGGAGCAGGACTGAGGCCTCTGCTGCTGAACACGCCTGGGGCCAGCTGTGACACTCCTTTTCCATGTCCTGCTCCAATCTGGAAAACACCCAGGTGGAAATTACTGGAAAACCCCCAGGAACTTTGTGCTCCACACTCTGGATAGAGAGAAGCTGGACCAGGTGTGATGTGTGGCAAGGAGGGAACCTGACAGCGTTTCCTTCCCCAGCTCCCTCTGCAAGTGGAGCGCGGTTTCCTTTATCAAATTTGTTTTTCTTATCTCTGCAGCCCCTCTGTGCCAGCACAAGGCTGTGCTGGGGGGGTGCTTTCCTCTGTGGGTGACAAGGACACCTCAGAGCTGCCCCAGAAACGTGGCAGAGCCACGTGGGTGCTGGAGGTGGCAGCAGGATGCTGTGGCTTCCAGCAGCTGCTCACACAAACAGCCTGAGCCCCTCTGCTGCAGACTTGGGGAGGAAATCACTGAGGTTTTTCAGTTCTGCTGCAGTTTTTGGGCAAGGCAGGGTGGATCTGAGGGCAGCAGGATGCTGGGGGCACAGGCAGGGCCCTGTGCCCACGGGGGATTGCAGTTCTTGTCATGATATCCCACACAGGAACGGCCCTGGGGGCTCTGGAGCACCTCAGTGACCCCATACTCCTGGGGATTGCAGTTCTTGTCATGATACCCCACACAGAAAGAGCCCTGGAAGCAGCACCTCAGTGACCCCAAACTCCTCAAGGTGCACTGCACAAGCAGCACAGTCCCACAGAAGCCCGCAGGCAGCCCTCACCTGCAGTGCCTTGGCAGCCCTGAGAGGACCTGGTGGCCTGGGCAGGAGCTGCCCAAAGCTTTCCCAACTGATGGTTTCTGTTTTCCACCCCCCTGTCCCTCTCTGCCTGCAAAAGGCTTTTCTGCAGTGCTGCCAGGGAAGGTTGGTGGGCACTGCCCTCTGAGCCTGCTGAGTAAGAGCCAAACCCTGCTGGGGCCATCAGCTGCCCCACCCTCGGCGGCTGGGCAGTGCTTGCTGAAATTATCTTTCCAGATAAGCTTCTTGTGTGTGGTTTTCCTTTTTGTTTTAGCCATGTAGAAAGTTCCAGGCACACCCAGGAGGCAGCAGCTGTCCTGCCCAGGCTGGGAGGAGCGAGCTGGGTGTCGGTGCCACCTTGGTACCTGGGCAGGAGGGGCTGGTCCTGGTTTGTTAGACCCAAAATGCTTCCAGATCCTGCTGTGGTTAACACAGGATTGAGATGAGCCGTGAGAAAAATCGAGGTGGCCAGCAAAGCCCTTTAACTTGGGCAGACTTCCACTTTCTAATTTCAGTTTAATGTTGCCCGTTGCAAAGGTTTTTTTGAAAGGGAAACATTTTGTGGTGTCTGCACGCAGACCTCTGCATTTTTGTTTTGTTGAAGGAGAAAAGGGCCCTTTTTATTCAAACTGTCACAAAGGTTTTCAGAGGTAGTGAGAGCAAGCTCCTTTCTCTTTCAACCCTGCTCCTGTGTGTGCAGCCAGAGCATCCCTTGGAGCTGTGAGTTCCTCGGCTGGGGGCTGGACTGTGATTTGGGGCTGGGGGCTCTGGCTGTGGCTGTCACTCCCTCGTGTTGCTCAGCCAACTCAGAAATGGAGCCACCCATGAATTTCGGGGTGGCTGTAAAGGATTGGAGACTAAAACACCCATGGTGGATCTGTAGGAGCTCTGATGTGGCACAGGAACCCTGTGTCCCCCCAGCTGCCTTGGGTGAGGAAGTCCCTGGATTTCTTGTGCATAGGAAATCATTAGAAATGGGATGTTTGCTCCCTGCAGAGCCCGCAGGAGGAGGTGTGGGTGCTCCCAGCTCACACTGATGTCCCCAGGCCTGCCTTCCTACTCCCTCTCCATGGCAAAACGCTCTCCAGGCTGGCCCTGCTCCTGGAAGGAAGTGTGCTTGGAGGATGATCTGGGACATTGCCAGCTGTGTTTGTTTAAATAGGATTTTTTTGGGCTGAAATGAGCTTGTTATTTTTTTAGCTGCTCAGACCATCTGGCCACACCCAGAATTATTCTTTGGCATCTCTGCCCTTGTTGAAAATGCATATTTTGAAGTTTTCCGTGTTCCCAGTGCCCGGCTGCAGCCTGCTGTGCCTGGATGAACACACAGGGTCACTTCAGAGGGACTGATTCTCCTCATTTTCTCATTGCCAGACTGCAAACCTGACTGGAATTTTGTGAGGTTTGCTCTGAGGAGCTCAGGAAGGGCTGGTGGACACTGCTGGTTTTAGTGTGCTCTGGTGGACGTGATGAGGAACACCACAGAAATACTGGGTTGAAATTATGCTCCTGGAGCTGTTTGGGGTGACAGTGGGGCACAGGGCAGTTCTCTGCCTGGGGGGACCATGGCAGGAGACAATTCCTGCCTTTCCATTTGCTCAGGAAGCTGCTGATGCTCTGGTTCAAGGTATTAAACAACACAAAAGTGTTGATATATCCCATTGATGCTCTGCTGACCCTGTCCCTGCTGCCAGACTTCCACCTGGAGCTGTGCCAGCTGGGATTGGTTCTCCTGGTTTGGAAAGGGTTCAATTGTCTTCCCAATCTCTTCTCTCCACCTGCCTGTTTCACATGCTCCCCCACCCTGACCCCTGGTTATTCTCCTCCCATGGTGGCTCTGTCACATGTGCCACCTCTCAGTTTGTCCCCTCTCTGACTCCTTGGCCCTGGGAAGATTCCAATTCCAGCTTTGCTGCATCCCAGCTCCTGCTGTTCTCCAGAACAAAGCTGTTGTCTCCCACCAGGTGAAAACTGCATTTCCCCTGCCCATGCAGAGGGTCTGAGGGGTGGGATGTGGCTTTCCTGGAGCTGCAGAATCAAACCATGGCAAACAGGGAGCTTGAACCTTCTCCCCTCAGCTCCTGGGCCAGTGCTTGGAGCTGCTTTGAGCAATGTGACCCTCTCTTGATGGGTTTAGAGAGCTGAGCTGGTAAACAGCGCTCAGGCGCTGTCCTTGGACTCAACCCTGGCATTTCACCACTCTGGAATGTCCTGTGTCACCTCCACAAGGAGAAGAGCTTGTTGGAGACGTGAAGCATCTCTTGTCCCTTGTAATCCCTGGCTGCTTGGAGCTGTAATCAGTTTATCTGAGCAGCCCCAGAGGGGAGCGGGGAACTGAGGCCAGCACAGGGCAGCTCTGGGTGATTCTGTGCAGAGGTGAGGGGAGAGGATCTGCATCCCTGAGGTGCTGGGGGCAACTGGGAGGGGTAGCAGGGACCAGGCAAGTGGGTGTGTGGGGCTGGCAGGGCTCTGCACATCCCTGGGGAAAAATGGCAAAATCTGGGGAACGTGCTCACCCTCTTCATTGACACAGTTTCCCCTCAAGCTGCTCGAAATGAGAGAGCAATGAACTACGGAGCAGTGTGGGGAAATAAAAATAGTTAAAAAAAAAACAACCCTACCCTGGAGACACAAGAGCCCTCCCCATCCCTCGTTTGGCAGGGAAAATCCTGCCTGATGTCTCACAGCCACGTCAGCTCGCAGTTATCCCACCCTGCTGCAGCTCCCAAAGGCAGGGGAGGGCATGGAAACAGGGGGAGCCCAAAATCCTGAAGCTGCTACTGGGGTCAGGTACGGGGCTGCTGGGGGTGTCACAGCCCCGGGAGGGTCCCTGGGAGCTGGGCAGGGTGTGGGATCTGGCCCCGGGGCTCGGAGACCCTTGGAGAGCCCAAGGGACGTGTCCTGGGGAGCTCCCACAGCCTGGGTGGGGCTGAGGGGCAGCTCTGCCACTCAGGGAATCAAACCCAGCTTTTCTCTGCTCTTCCCTCCCTTCCCCCAGTGAGACTCAGCCTGGCTTTAACTCTCCTTTTGTTCCCCCAGATCATGATCGAGTTCTGCCCTGGCGGGGCCGTGGATGCCACGATGCTGGGTGAGTGCAGCTGTGCCCTGTGCCAGGGGCGATGCTCACGGGGCATTTCCAGCCCCCTGGCACCACCCCAGGAGCAGCCCTCAGACAGATGGCAGGCGTGGGTGCCACAGCTGCCCTTTCTCTCCCAGGAGTTTGCCTATTTTCATACCCTGAGCAGAAGGTGTGGAGTTTTTGAGCTACTTTTAATGTCCTTTTGTGATTTCAGTGCTGCTGGGATCGGCAGATCACAAGGCACGGGGAAAAGGGAGAGTCTGGCTGCAGGGGAAAGCTGAATTTAAATATTTACCTGCTGGGGGCACTGGCTGTTTGGGATCCTGTTCCCACAGCTCCCAGCAGGGCTGAGAAGTTTAAGCTGGGTGCCTGTCAAGATGAATTTCCCCAGACCTTTCTGCTGACTTCTCCGTACTGTATCAATAGTTTGGTGAGGCAGCAGAGCTCTGATGAGCTGCAGTTTGCAGCAATCCCAGCAATCTCCCCTTTTTTAACTCCTCCCTCGCACACAGAGAGAGCTGCTGGGAGCAGGGATGGGTGGCTGTACCCCAAAAGAGCCCTGGCTGGTGCCACATCCCTTCTGGGGGTGACATCCCCTCTGCACAGCAGATGTGACACTGACATCACCCTGCCCAGAGCCCTGGGACAGAGCCACACCTCCCTGGGGGTTACTCCTTGTCAGCCCTGATCTTTCCAAAGGCCTCGCTTTCTTTTTGTTTCCAGGAACCAAATTTATCATCTTTAACTCAGCTCTTAAACCTCCTTTAGGGAACTTCTTTAAAGTGGCTCCAAGTCACTGGGTGAAAAAATACCTTTCCTGAAGTCCTGGGGGGGAATGAAACCTTCCTTCCCTGTGGAAATCCTCAGCAGGGGGGGTTCACCCATCTCTTGGGACATAAAAATGCTCCTGAGCATTCTCTCTGCATAGAAAACCATGAGAGAGTGGCCTGGCTGTGGCTCTGTGAGCCCTGAGTGAGGGTGAGGAGGAGCTGGAGCTCAGGAATGCTCCCAGAATTTGCAAATTCAGAATTAGTACATCTCAGAGTTTCAGAAATGCTGCCTGTTCCACCTCCCCATCCCCACTGGCAGCTGGGGTCTCTTCAAAATCTTATGAACAAAACCTGTGACCTGCTGGAACTGCCTTTTTCCAGGGTGAAAATCACCAGCTTTTCCCAGAGCAGGGGAGCTCCTGGTGAGGAAAGGAGGAACAAAGTGACTGAGCCAGCAGCTCCAGGCTGTGCTTAAGATCCTTGCTCTGAACTAACTCCTGGCCCAGTTGCTGGGGTCCATCAGCCCCATCTGGTGCTGTCTGAGCCCTGCTCTGCTGGAGGAGGGATCTGCACTGCAGGGGCCTTGCTGAGGGAGGCAGGGCAGCTCAGGAGATGCTGACCATCTGGAGGGGGATGCTTTGCAGAGCTGGGGTGGTGGAGGTGGCCCAGAGCTCAGCAGGGAGGTCATGCCTGTCCCTATGAGCACCAGAAATAGAATCACAGAATCACAAAACATCCTGAGCTGCAGGGGACACACAGAATCCGGCTCCTGACCCTGCACAGGGCAGCCTCAAGAATCCCATCGTGTGCCTGAGAGTGTCCAAACACTCCCTGAACTCTGGGACTGGCACTACCCAAAACACCAGCTCAGAGCAGTGGGCAGGGATAACCCTGCTGAGCATTTAAATCGTGTTCCTTTGGGAAGTGGTGTGTCCCTCGTGATGTTTAGGGTGCCTCCCCACAGCAGGGATAATTTCCTGGTTCCCCTGTTCCCTGGGGAATGAGGGCTGCTGTTGTTCATGCCTGTGTTTGACACTGCTGTCCTGCAGCAGCTCCCTCCTCTCTCAGCAGCTGGGTGAGACCCAGCTTGTCTGTCTTCCCAAATTGTCAGGGAATTTGCAGTTCAGACCCCATCCCAAGCATTTCTGGCTCCTTTTCCTCATCCACTGTTCCAGGGCCTCAGCTGAGCATTCCCAGGAGGGAGCTATGAGCCAGCAGCTCCAAGAGGTGGAAATTCTGATGGCTTAGGGAATAAATCACCTTAACAAGCTGCTTTCCTTTGTCTCCTGCTGCTCTGACCCAGGGACAGTGACTTTACCATGCTCTGCTGGGTAACCTGGGCCTTCCTGCTGCTCAGGTGAGCATCACTTTGTCCCTGTCCTGTTTGACATCTCTGTCCCTCCCTGCAGAGCTGGACCGGGGCCTGACTGAGCCTCAGATCCAGGTGATTTGCCGCCAGATGTTGGAAGCTCTCCACTACCTGCACAGCAAAAGGATCATCCACAGGGACCTGAAGGCTGGGAACGTGCTCCTCACCCAGGATGGGGACATCAAGCTTGGTGAGTCCCTGGCACCACTCCATGCTCACCCAAAACCAGCTGGAATGTGGGGTTTGGATGTTCCTGAGTGTGTTGGGATCGAGGGATCGAGCTTCTCTGCTGCCCGAGAGGAGCAGCAGGGTGAGGAGGGGAAGATTTTGCTCCACAGAAAGGCAAAAGGAGCTGCAGGATGAGGAGGGGAAGAGTTTGCTCCACAGAAAGGCAAAAGGAGCTGCAGGATGAGGAGGGGAAGATTTTGCTCCACAGAAAGGCAAAAGGAGCTGCAGGATGAGGAGGGGAAGATTTTGCTCCACAGAAAGACAAAAGGAGCAGCAGGAGGAGGAGGGGAAGATTTTGCTCCACAGAAAGGCAAAAGGAGCTGCAGGATGAGGAGGGGAAGATTTTGCTCCACAGAAAGGCAAAAGGAGCTGCAGGATGAGGAGGGGAAGATTTTGCTCCACAGAAAGACAAAAGGAGCAGCAGGATGAGGAGGGGAAGATTTTGCTCCACAGAAAGGCAAAAGGAGCTGCAGGATGAGGAGGGGAAGATTTTGCTCCACGGAAAGGCAAAAGGAGCTGCGTGCTGTGCTGAGCCCCCAGGCCACAGCCACGCTCAGGCCCCCCGATGGATTTTTCTCCCCTGAGTTTGTTTAATCCCTCTCTGAACCTGATTTTTGTGCCTTTTGGCCTGCTGAGCATCCTGTGCAGGGTGCCAGTTGGCAGGGCTGGGAGCTGGAAGAATTCCTCTTATCTGCACAGCAGGTTTGGTGGTGACAGGGGGAGGGTTGCCAAGGGGTTCCTTTGCCAGTTCGCTCTGCTTTGGAGTTAAATTGGCACCTGAAGACCTGCTGGGGGAGGAGAGGGTGGATTTATCTGCAGGAACTGGTCAGAGGATGCCACCAGGGCTGTCCTGGAGAGCAAACCCACCTGCAGTGGGCTCAGTACCCTCTGCAGCTCTGAGCAGTTTCATTTGGGATCGCTTCAGCTCAGAAGGGACAAAATCAGAGAGAGGCATCTTGCAGTGGCTGGAGGGGAGAGAAGGAACGGAACAGCACTTTGGTTTTTCTGCTGTAAAATCAGGCTTTTTGCTAGGAAATAGGTCCTGAAATCTACCATGGAGCTGCTTTTGTTTGCAGAAAAGAGCTCAATATCCTCCTAAACGTGTAAGGTTTGGCAGGAGGGGGTTGTTGTGCCTGTTTTATAGTACATGGGAGAGGAAAATCCTGGGGGTCATGTACCCCAAACCAAGTTCAATTCCTGATGCTCAGCTGGGAGGACACAGCCCGTGGTATCACGTTCTTGCCTTCAGTGTGTGTTGTTTGCTTTCCAACCTATGTCTCAGCCAAATGTGCTAACTCAGAAGGGTTTTTCAGTTTTCCTCCGGCCTCTAATGTTCCTGCTCTTTGCAGCTGACTTTGGAGTGTCTGCCAAGAACATGAAAACCTTGCAGAAGCGAGATTCCTTCATTGGGACCCCTTACTGGTGAGTCCCTGCTTGCTGAGAAATCCTGAAAATCAGATTAAGCTGGCTCTGACGGCTTTGGGTGTGTTGGACCGCGGTGCCTTAGGGTGGGAGGGTTTTAATGAGGATTCTTGGCCATTTTCTTGACATTTAAGGGTTTTCCTTGCCTGAGCAGATCTGTGAGCAGCCTCGGTGCTGTGGGAGCTCAGCAGAGCCAGCAGAGGGGTCACGGTGCTCCAGGCTTGGAGCGAGGGACACACGAGTGTGCTCTCCCTGCTCCCCACACCCCGGGGCTGGGATGGGCTTTGAAGCCACTCCAAGCACATGGGAACAAGTCCCTGCCCCAGAAACACAACCTCTAAATCACCCGACTTGCTGAAGGAGGGGAATTGCGGGGATTAATTGATGCTCTGGAGCAACATCCGCGCCAGATGTCAACGGCCTGGGGGTTTGCAGGGGCTGTCTGGCTGCTCTGAGGAGGAGAGAGGGTTTGTACCCTGTGGAGAAGATGCTGCTGCTTCTGCAAGCCAGGGCTGGGGGGGAAAGCTGTGCTTCCTGCAGCGCTGTGGATTATTTGAAGCGTTTAATTGCCGCGGCCTCAGCCTGGCCCTGCTGTGCCCTTCGCAGGATGGCCCCGGAGGTGGTGATGTGCGAGACCATGAAGGACACTCCCTACGACTACAAGGCTGACATCTGGTCCCTGGGGATCACCCTGATCGAGATGGCCCAGATTGAGCCACCCCACCATGAGCTGAACCCCATGAGGGTCCTGCTGAAGATCGCCAAGTCCGAGCCGCCCACGCTCAGCTGCCCTTCCAAATGGTGAGGGGGCAGCACAGGGGGCACCTCCCAGCTCCCACACAGGAAAACCAGGAGCTTTTAGCAGCTCTCTCTCACTGGAGTTGGGTTTAGCTGCGCTCCAGGTGCAGCTGTGTGAATGTAAGGTGTAAGGCAGGATGCTCACGGTGTGCTCACGGTGTCCAGGCAGCACAGGGAGAGCTTCTCCTCACCCAAAGAGCCCCCAAAGCCAGGGGTGACACCATGGCTGCTCTCAAAACAACCCTTGTGTATGAAAGGCAGATTTTCCTCTAAAGCTGAAGATGGCCAAGAGCTCCAGAACTGGTTTCCCTGAAGTCTGGAAAGCCACTTCTGCATGTAAAATAAAACTAGCCAGTTAATTTTTATTTTATTTTATTTTATTTTATTTTATTTTATTTTATTTTATTTTATTTTATTTTATTTTATTTTATTTTATTTTATTTTATTTTATTTTATTTTATTTTATTTTACTTTACTTTATTTTACTTTATTTTACTTTATTTTATTCTATTTTATTTTATTCTGTCCTATTCTATTTATTTAGGGTTTTTTTATTTTATTTTAGTCTATTTATTAATTTAGTTGTTTTGCTTTGTTTTATTTTATTTTACTTTATTCTATTTTATTCTATTTTTCTAGTCTAGTCTATTCTATTCAGGTATTTTATTTTATTTTATTTTATTTTATTTTATTTTATTTTTCACAAAAATTGATGCAGGTCAGCCAGCAGCAAATTACTGGCAGAGCACTGGAGTCAGAGCGTGGTGCCAGCAGTGCCAGAGACTGTCCCAGGCAGCAGGCAGGGTGGGAACTGCCTCTGGAGCTGCTCGGAGGTGACATCAGGGCTCTGGAGCTCCGAGCTGCGCTTTGCAGGCTGAGGGTGCCCTCTATGGGGTTACTGCTCCTTCCCAGCCGCCCTTCCCCAGCAGGGCTCTGCTTTTGTCCCTTTAGGGGACAGCTGCTGCTGTGTCCTGCCTCTGCCCTGGCCCTGGGGCTGGGCACAGCTCAAAACTGCTCCCTGCCCTGCCCTGCTGCTGCTCCTCCTCCAAATATCCAGAATTACTGAGCGCCTTTCCCAGGGGAGCAAAATGCTGCCTGCAAGCTGGGACAGAAGCTGCTGAGGGATCAGGCTGATCTCTCTGCTATTTGAGGCCTTTCCTCTGCTGAATTCCTCACCGCCAGCTGTGTTTAAGGTCCCTGGAGTTCAGAGATTTCCTGAAGAAGGCGCTGGACAAGAACCCGGAGACCCGGCCCAGCGCTGCCCAGCTGCTGGAGGTAGGGACCAGAGCAGTGACCCCAGACTGATTTCAGATTATTTCTATCTTCTTTAGAAAGCTCATAGCATTTTTCAGCCACTAAAATGTTCCAAAACAGGATCAGCACTGTTTTTTTTTCCCTTTGGAGCAACCTGCAGAGTCCCTATGGACACCATCTGGAACAGAAACAGCTCCTGCTGCCTGAAAATGCCCATGTGGCAGTCAGGGCTAACCTGGTTAGCCCTGACTGAAATTCAATTCCTTTCCTCTTGTCCCTTCCCAAAATCACAGCAAAAAACTGGTTCCCTGCTGGCTGCAGCTCCCTCGCTGTCTGAGCCCAGGGACTTCACACTTTTGCTGCAGCTCAGCACCAACACCCTGCTGTGAGCACTGAGTTATTCCAGCCCCATTCCAATTAAACCTTCCCCAAGGCTCTCTTTGCTCCCAGGGATCCTGCAGACTGCTCCTGCCCTGCTCTTGGTGACATTCTGTGGGCACATGTCCCCTTCTTTAAATGCTGCTGCTTTTTTGGGGGGGTGGTTCTGCCATAAAGCAGTTTTGGGGAGCATCTGTGTGCACAATGTGCCCTGAACCCCAGCCCCACTTCTCCCCTCTGAATTCCTCTGGGGGTAAATCCCAGTGACACTGCAAAAAACCAAACCCTCAGGTCCTTGAAAGCCAAAAGTCATCCTGGAGCTCACTAGGTGTGATTTTGGCCAGCTCATATTTTTCATTTGTGCTCGGTTTTTCAGCATCCCTTCGTCAGCAAGGTCACCAGCAACAGGGCCTTGCGGGAGCTGGTGGCCGAGGCCAAGGCTGAGGTGATGGAGGAGATTGAGGAGAGTCGGGATGAAGCAGAGGAGGATGATTCCTTGGATTCTGCCTCGGTGAGCAGCTTCACCACTGTGGCTGTGCTGGGGGGAAAGAACCTGGCAACTTTTCCAGACTCCAAAAACTCTTCTGGGCCACAGCAGGTGGAGGGGGAAGTGGTTGCTTGGCAGGGAGGGGCTGGATTTTGGTGGCTGCCAAGGGCAGAGTGGTGCTGGGGGGTGGCCCAGTGCCCAATCACAGGAGGGGCTCGTGGAAAGTAGTTAAAAAACAAAAGGAGAAGGGTAAAAAAGAAAATAAGCCCTGATGTAGGCTGGAGAAGCTGGAGTGGAAGAAAAGCAGCACATGGAGGGACCACCAGCCTGAGGAGGGAGCTGGGCAGATCTGGCTCGTTGAAGGGGACATCTCAGAGCTTCTGGGGGTTACATCTCGATCTCCCTCCTCTGTCACAGAGGGAAGTGGCTCATCCATAGTGGAGTTATCCATGAGAAAATGAGTTTGGTGTGCAAATTCCTCATCTGCCTCTTAAGGACATGCAGGTTCTGGGGCTTTTTCATCATTCCCCTGCCTCCCACCCAGGATCCGTAGTCCTTGGGGCCACAAACCTGGGGAAAGGTGGAAGCACCCCAGAGCAGATGTCCTAAAAGGGAAATCCCCTCCCACTGAGTGTTTGGTTCAGGGTGACTTTGCTCTGAAGGAGGGGCCTTGTAGCCCGTGCAGTTGTGTTGAGTGGCGGTGCCAAACCCAACATCTGCCCTCCCCTGTCTTTGCAGCCCCCTGGGAATCACAAGCGGGACCCCTCTGAGGTGAGCCAGCTGAGCTTTGATGGGGAGAAACCTCCGGACTTGCCCAAAGCTGGGAACGGCTCCGTGGGGACCGGCAAGGACCCCACAGAGGCCCAGAGCCACAAAGTCTCAGATAAAAGGATGAGCAGTGACAATGACAAACTGGAGAGCAACCACTCCTCAAAATCCAGCTCGGCCTCCTCGGGCACCCAGGACAAGCCAGACATCATCCTGCAGCCAGGACATTTGGGTAACTCAACAGAGGGGAGCAAGGAGCCAAGGCTGGGCAAAGAGGAGAGGAAGAGCCTTGAGGAGAGGAAGAGCCTTGAGGAGAGGAGGAGCACTGGGGAGAGGAAGAGCATCGGGGAGAGGAAGAGCATCGTGGAGCGACCAGAGAGTGTTCTCCTGGAGAACTTGAGCGAGGAGAAGCTGGCCAATGGCAGCCTGGAGCCCCTGGGGCCGTTCCCCGGCAGCCGCTCCAAAAGGGACTCGGATTCAGGCAGCACTTCGGCGTCCGAGAGCATGGACCTCACCATCTCCTTGTCTGCTGACCTGTCCCTCAACAGGGAGAGCGGCTCCATCTCCCTCAAGGTGAGAGTGGTGCCAGAGGGTGCTGCAGAACGTGGAGGAGGGAGGAACCTTTCCCTAGGGAAAGCTTTCCAGGGTTTGTTTTCCGTGTTGCCTGTCCCAGCCAGGTTCAGCTGTGCCAGGGGGACGTGTCCTCAAGTGAAGGAGAAGCTCTTGGTGGAGCTGCTGAAGGTTCATGTGTCCTCTTCTGTGCCATGACACTAAAATCAGGGGAAGTCTGATGACTTGTGTCTATTTTGGGTGAAGTAACCACACCATGAGCCCTGTCCTTGCTCTAGTGTGAAACCCCAAATGGGGCTTCCTAAACTTTACCCATGGTCCATCACTCTGCTGCTCTTCCCTAGAACACTCAATCCCAGGAAAAGGTTCATCTGGGCTTGTGCTCTCAGTTTTCCCAGCCTGCCCTACATCTGGCCTGGTTTGTGTCAGCAGTGACTGCACAAAGACCACCCAGGCTTCTTGGCTTTTGCCAGAGCTCCTGGAGGCTGGGGATGCTTGACCTGGAGCTGCCCAGGTCAGCAGGGCTTAGAGGAAGAGGCAAAATAACTGGAATGGTATTTGCTGAGCTCCAGGAGAAGAACTGCAGTGACTGGAGGGGGCAGAGGGATGTGTTGCACAAGATCTTTGTCACATTGCCTGCATGAGTGAGAACTTCCCAGCACGGAAACGTGCCTAAAAACCTTCCTTGGCAAAACTTTCCCCACCTCCTGCTGGGAGCTGGAGAACCAACATCCCCCAGAGGAGCCTGCAATCCCTAGTGATTGGAAATGTGATGCTCTTGCACAGGAATTCCCCCCTCCTCGTGACCTTTCCAGGACACCTGGTCTCCAGGAGGAATACAATGCCACATGTAGATTTGCTCTCTGAGTTGGTCCTCTAGAAGGGGAAAGGAGTTTTTTGGGTTTTTCAGGGAGTAAGCCATTTTAGATCATGTGAGGAGGGGACTTTGGGAGGTGGGTTGGGTTTCTTCAGCGTGGAAGTCCCGCTGCTCTGTGGTTTGGTAGCCAGGCTGGATCTCCAAATTCACTGATGCTTTGCGTTCCTTGTGGATTCCTTGTGCACGTTTCTCATGAACAATGGCATTAAAAGTGCTCTGAGTGCTCCAGCCCAGCTGTTGCAGCCCTGGGGAGCTGCTTCACGGGCTCCTCCTCTCCTTCCTGCCCACGCCAGGACTCCCAGATGCACAAGAAGACCCTGAAACGCACCCGCAAGTTCGTGGTGGACGGGGTGGAGGTGAGCGTCACCACCTCCAAGATCATCAGCGAGGATGAGAAGAAGGATGAAGAAATGAGGTTTCTAAGGCAAGTGGGGCACTGGGATGGAGGGAGGGCAGGGATTTCCTCTCTGTGAGCTAATTCAGGGGATACCTAAAGTCCTCTTGTCATCTGTCTTGGTCCCCTTGGACAGGGGAAGGAGGGATTCAGCTCAAGACGCAGCAGGACTGCGACCAGGGGAGCTTTGCTGTGTCTGGCCCTGTCCTCTGGGGATGACTGAACGTGTCCCCAGGGCTGCAGATGCCTGGCTCAGTGGAAATTAGCTCAGAAATCTTCTCAAGATGTTCCTCTCCCTTTTGTTCTCGAATCTCCTCAGACTTTGTTAACAGAAAAGCCAAGGGAGTTGTAAACTCCTGGAGCATTATTTAATATTCATGGGTGTATCCTCCCTGCTTGATGACTCCTTTGCAGATCTTGCAGCTTTTAAATCTCCTTGACTTATTCTCAGAAAGAGGAGCTGATGTTCCTAGCACTGAAATGAAAAGGCCCTTAAAATAATTAAAATACAAATTGTTTCATTTGATGCCTAATTCCAGGCTCCCTTGTGCTGCTCTCCAGGACTCCCTGAGAGGATAACTTGTCCTGAACACTTTGTGTCCCTTGGGCTGCCTTATTCCTCAGCCCAAATATCAGATTTATGTAAAAGCTCATTAGCAGAGCTCATTTACTGCTGAGCTGGATGAGGGGAGGGATGCAATCTCATCAAAGATGGGTCAGAATTTGGGAAAACAGCCCTTTTTGCCACCCAGGTGTGGATAAGAATGGATACAGAGCAAAGAGGCCAGGCCAGAGCAGTCCAGCTTGGGATTTGAGGCCCAGTGAGCACTAACCCAGCTGGCACAATGGCTATTTGGGCTGCTGGGGGACACCAGTGCCTGCAGAATCACCTGAGGAGCCTTGCCAGGGCTTGTTTGGGAAGCTGTGGATGCTAACTGGCCTTACCTGTGGAAGCTGGTGGTTTTCCAGCCGTTCCCATAAAGCAGCATCCTGCTTCCCGCAGTGTCCCAGCGCCTGGAGCACATCAGGATCTCCTTCCTGCCTGTGCTCGGGCCAGGGTGCTGTGGGCTGGAGGTGCAGCTTCCACTCCCTGCTGAAATGCTCTGCTTGTGGATGCGACCATCTCTGCCCATCACATCCCAGCGGCCTGGCCTGACCCCGCACTTCTCTGTCCCCTCTGCAGGCGCCAGGAGCTGCGGGAGCTGCGTCTCCTGCAGAAGGAGGAGCACAGGAACCAGGCCCAGCTGAACAGCAAACACCAGCTGCAGCTGGAGCAGATGCTGCGGCGCTTCGAGCAGGAGATGATGGTAGGAGGGCAGGGAAAAGCCCTGGGCATCAGCTGGGAATCCAGCTCCTCTGCAGGTGCCTCACACGGGGATGCTCTCTGGGTTGCAACAACCTTGGGCATCACAGGAACCCCTTTGGGATTTGGAGCATGGATGGAGGTTTTGTGGGCATTAAGCACCCTGCAGCTTGGGAAGCACTGACAGCCTTTGCCAGTTGTTCTGGACTTTCTCTCTTTAATGATCTTTTATGTCTGTTCATGGCTAGTGTGAGAAACAGTTTATAGTGCTGTTGTAATTCACTAAATAAACTAAAAACCCAACCCAATCTTTATATAAGAAAGCAGCATGACCTGAGTGTGACAGCAGGAAATCTGGCAAGGCTTTGAGTGTAAATTGAATAAACTGGGCTTACACACTTGGTCCCTTCTGCTGAAGTAAAATAATATTGCAGTTAATCACAGAATGGTTTGGGTTGGAAGGGACCTTAAAGGTCTTCTCCTTCCATGGCACTGCTGGAGCACTTTGTGAGGTGCTGGTTGGAATTTTCCTTCCTCTGTAAAGAGATTTAATCCAAGCAGGAACAATCCCCTACCCCTTTTTTTTTATTTTTCACTTTTCTTTTTAACCTTTTGGAAGCGGAGAGGAGGCTGAGGCTGTTCCCTTGGTTCCTCTCCTGGGCAGGCAAAGAAGAAGTTCTATGACACGGAGCTGGAGAACCTGGAGAGGCAGCAGAAGCAGCAGATCGAGAGGATGGAGCAGGATCATTCCCTGCGCCGGCGCGAGGAGGCCAAGCGCATCCGTCTGGAGCAGGAGCGCAACCACACCCGCTTCCTGGAGCAGCTCAAGCTGATGAAGAAGGAGGTAAAAATGGGGATGGGAGGGAGGGAAGCGGCTTTCCTGCACCTCTTTCTTCCTGGGGAGCTTCAGCATTTCTCGTGGCAGAGCTGGAGGGGAGAGCAGTTGGTGTTTCATGAGGTGTTTGGGGTGTTTCCTGAGGTGTTTGGGGTGATTCCTCAGGTGTTTTAGTGATTCCTGATGTATTTTGGGTGATTCCTGATGTATTTGGGGTGATTCCTGAGGCATTTGGGGTGATTCCTGAGGTGTTTGGGGTGATTCCTGATGTATTTTGGGTGATTCCTGAGGTATTTTGGGTGATTCCTGATGTGTTTTGAGTGATTCCTGAGGTGTTTGGGGTGTTTCTTGAGGTGTTTGGGTGATTCCTGAGGGCCTTCCAGGTGATTCCTGAGCTGTTCAGTGACTCGAGGTGGGGTTGTTTCTCTCCTCAAGTGACCCTCAGAGAAATTTAATTTCCTCCCCCCAGGTCAAGAACGAGGTTGAGAAGCTGCCACGGCAACAGCGCAAGGGGAACCTGAAGGCGAAGATGGACGACTTCACGCAGAAAAAACAAACCATGGTGAGGCTTGGGGAAGATCCCCCCCAGTTCCAAAGTTGGGAAATGTGCAGTAGAATAAAGCATCCTTCTGCTGGAGGGACAGGCAGGCTCTGAAACACCAGCAGCTCCTTCCCAAGCTGCAGCAGAAGGAGGGCTCATGGTGGCACTGCTGGGTTTTTTAACAGGAACAGGAGTTTTTGGCCAAGCAGAAGGAGGACCTGGAGCAGGCCATGAAGAACATCACAGCCCAGAACAAAAGAGAGATCTGCGACAAGGAGCGCGAGTGCCTCAACAAGAAGCAGCAGCTGATGAGAGGTGGGTGGCAAAGGCTGTGAGGGAGGGGAAGGAGTGCTGTAACCAAGGGTTTATCCAGCCCTGGCTCTTCCCACACAGCAGATGCTGTGACAGAGTTGCAAGCTGGCAGGATGGGATGTGGAAAAAAAACAGCCTTGCCAGGTCCTGTCTAAATGTTTAACAATAATAATACTTAGTGCTTTAATCTTCAAAGTGCTTTACAAATATGAACCAATTAGGCTTCATAATTGCAAGAAATCAGGCTCCAACATGGTTTGCAACCGATTTCTCTTGGAAAACAGGAGGTGAATGATCACCCCCAACATCTGCTGCCCTGTTTGTGTGCAGAGGTCGCTTGGGACACTGTGTGTGACCAGGATGAGAGGCCAGGGTGGGTGATCTGCTCCTTCTCCTCCCCACAGACCGGGAAGCTTGCATCTGGGACCTGGAAGAGCGTCAGCAGCAGGAGAAGCACCAGCTTGTCAAGCAGCAGCTGAAGGACCAGTATTTCCTCCAGAGGCACGAGCTGCTCCGGAAGCATGAGAAGGTGAAGGCTTTGCACCTTCCCACACTGGTGTGGGTCAGAAAAGCGTCCTGGGTATTTGTCTACCAGGCTGAAAAGGGGGAAATCACCCAGATTGTGGTTCAATCCCTATGTGGGCCATTCACTTAAGAGCTGGACCTGATGATGGTCCAGTTCCAAGTCAGAATATTCTGTAATTCTATAAATTTTTTAATTCTGAGGGTAAGCTGGGAGTTAAAGGGCTTGGTCATTATTAGTGGGAAAGGACCAGAATAAAGCTGGTGTGTCGAGAAGGCAATAAAGCCTTCTTGCCTGGGACGGGTGCTCTGTGTTGCGTGAATTTAATGTGTGAGAAGTTGGGAATTTTGAGGGGCTTTTCTGGAAATCTGCCCCTGCAGATTTAGCAGGTTGATTTAGCAGGTTGATTTAGCAGTTTGATTTAGCAGGTTGATTCCCAGAGCAGGGCATGTGAAGACTGTTTACAGCCCCTTCTCCTCTGCTTTCCCAGCATGTTCAATCTGTGCCATCCCCTCTTGTCCCTTTGCGAGTGCCACCAGCCGCTCCCACGCTACCCCCAAGTCTGCCCTCCAGCTGTCTGTGTTCTCCTCAGGCCTCTGGGGAGGGGTCCCTGCTCCTCTGAGCCCTGTGTGTCTGCAGGAAAGGGAGCAGATGCAGCGCTACAACCAGCGCATGCTGGAGCAGCTGAAGGTCCGGCAGCAGCAGGAGAGGGCCCGGCTGCCCAAAATCCAGCGCAGCGAGGGCAAGACGCGCATGGCCATGTACAAGAAGAGCCTCCACATCCACTCCAGCGGCAGCGCCGCCGAGCAGAGGGAGAAAATCAAACAGGTCAGGGCCTGAAAAGGCACCAAGAGTTTGAGGCTTGGTTGGGAGGAGAAGGGGGTTTGGGGAAATGCAGCTGTTTCCAGATTTTAACTTGCTGATGGGTTGGAGGGCTCTGTTTTGTGGCATCACGGGTGGTTTTGGGTGCTGTCTCCATTGTGACTTGTATTGGGAAGCATCCTCGGGGTTTCTCCTTCTTTCCTGTGTGATAATGGAAGCTGGGCTGGTCTCTCAGCCAGCCCCAGAGACCAGAGCAATGCTGCCTACACGGGCACCTGCTTTTCTCTCCGCCAGTTTGCTCTGCAGGAGGAGAAGAGGCAGAAAGCAGAGCGGCTGCACCAGCAGCAGAAGCATGAGTCGCAGATGAAGGACATGCAGGCCCAGTGTGAGAGCAACACCAATGAGCTCCAGCATCTCCAGGTACTTGTCCCTCATGGCTTGGTCTCCCAGAGCTGCCTGTGCTGGTCTCAGTCTCTGGAGAAGTGGCTGCAGAGGACTGTCAGGAGTTGATGTCCCCTTGCTCTTGCCTTGAGAGGTTTTTGTTGCCGTGTCTAAACGTGGAGCTCAGAGCTCTGAGTGTCTCTGAGCCGGGCAAATCCTGTTTGACCTGCTTGATGGGTGTTGTGTTTGGTGATGTGCTTTTAGAATGAGAAGTGTCACCTCCTGATCGAGCACGAAACCCAGAAGCTGAAGTCTCTGGATGAGAACCACAACCAGCACATGAAGGAGTGGCGGGAAAAGCTGAGACCACGGAAGAAGGTGGGGTGTGAGCAGGGTGTCCTGGACAGTGCCCATAGCCCCAGAACAATCTCAAACACAGCTCTTGTGTTGTTCTCTTTGCTCAAGGCCCTGGAGGACGAGCTGAACCAGAAGAAGCGTGAGCAGGAGATGTTCTTCAAGCTGAGCGAGGAGGCCGATGGACAGATGCCAGTGTCCCCGACCAAACACGCCAAGTTTGTTCCCTTCAGCTCCTCAGAGAGCTTGTAACACCTGGCAGGCCACCAGCTGGTACTGGCCATGTCCTCCTGGGCTGCAGGGGGCAGCTTGGACTCGGAAAGCTCTCTCAGCAGCCCCTCCTCACCACAGCACCCTCGCTCTGCCTGGGATAAACATGGCCTCTGCGCTGAGGGGTGCTGACTGGAACTTGGGGTGGCTTTCCCAGGAGGTCCAGACTGGGAATTGGGGCAGGACCCTCTCTGGACTGTACTTGCACTGTTAGCTGGATGCTTCCTGGGTGAGCCTGGTGCTCACTGGGTTTGTCAGCTCGGGCTGGAGCAGGGACCACTCTGATCAGGAGAAGCAGCCGCTCAGGGCAGGGCTGTCACCTCCCTCTCCACCGTGGCTGCTCCTGTCCCAGTCCTCTGTAAGACCTGGCCTGGGCCAGAGCAGCTTTGGCATTGTCTTAAACTCACCTTGGCCTTAGACTTACTCCTCTCCACTGTGGTGCTTTTTTTTGCCACAGAGACACAGAGATTTGGGGGTTTTTGCCTAGGGAGGGCTGGGTTTTTTCGTTCCTCCTCCTCCCCACACAGACTGTGCAGAAAGGGGCTGGATGTCCTCCCAAAGATGCTTCTGCTCTTCCTTTGCTGTGGCCACTGGCACCACAGCCCTGCTGGCACTGAGCTAACCCTCTGCTATCAGGGGCTGCGTTCTGGGGTGATTAAACTGCCCAGCTTTGGTTCTTGAGGAAGTGGAAGTGCAGAGGGAGAGGTTGGGGCCAGTGCTCAGTCCTGCAGTGACGCAGGTGAGGTGTCTGTCACTGTCACCTGCCTTTGGGCTGAAGGGTGTCACTGCCAGAGCTCTCATCATCATCACACAGGTGCTTGAGGCTGGTTTTTAAGTCCTTTCTGCGTGGGGCCATGTGGGTGAGCCAGCCTGGCCAGCGAGTTATGGCTGCAGAGCATCGTTAGGGAGGAGCAAAGTGGAACAAGGGAGATGCAAAGGGGGCTTGTTGTTCCCAGCACCTCCTTGCCCACTGATGTCCCATCTCCTTGTGATGTGCCACAGCTTTTGGGATAGTTCTCCTGGCTGGGAGTCGTGGGCAGAGGGGCAGAGCAGGTCCTCTGTCCTTTCTGTCCCCTGCACAAGGCAGGGCTTGGCTGAGCCGCTGCGTGGGACTGGGAGCACAGAGCTGGGGAGGGGGTCAGGGACCTCACTGGCAGCACCTTCTTCTTTACACAACCCAAAGGTGTAAGGCAGCACTTAAGTCTTTCTCTGGACAACATTGTTTGTTTTAGACCTGTTTCTTTAGCAAGAAAAAATATTTCTGCTTTAAAAAAAATAATAATAATAAAAAAAAAAATATATATATATATATATATATATATATATATAAGAAAAAAGTTGTTATTTTCAAGCCCCCTCTGTTGATTTACTGGCATTTCAGGGAAAGGTGGTATGTGATGTGCCTCGCTTCCAGGTACTGGGCTGAAGCAGGCAGCCCCCAGATCTTGAATTCTGTGTCTGGAGAGTGCATTTCCTACTCTTTTAGAGCTCCTAATCCATATTTATAAGCTTCCTGCAAGCTAGCAAGACTCTTTGGGCCATTCCAGGTTACCTCTGGTTTCACAGCAGTGCTGTCTCTGTTAATAAACATAGGAAGGGTTCCTGCCCCATCTCCAGAAGTGTGGATTGTGCCTTTCAGA